TTCAATATATAGATAGGGTGATGAGGTCCGAAATTCGGGTGTTGATGTCGACGTTATGTAGTAAATCTTACATAATCTTGCTAGCGAAGGTCTGTATGGTCTTCGGAACCCTCGCATTAATAAGATCTTTCTATAAACCCCGCAAGGAAAGTTACGAGGAGATATAACATCAGAGCTATAACACTAATCGAATAACCTTTTCTGGGGTAACTTACTAACCTCACGTAGGTAGTTTTGATCGATGGCAATACTTTAGTACACCATGAAAAGTCTGAATTCAAATACTTTTCTTTACCTTCAACCGGTATGTGCTCTGGTTGACGTACCGGTATAACCAAGTTTCGATAGTGACTGCTAAGTACTCAAGTTGTTGTAGTGCAACGATCGCCAAGAAGAAAGTTGATAAATGTATGTAGAGATTGGTATCTATATCGATGCCTCTCGCAAATCTTCAAGATTGTACAAAAACCGCAAGCCATGCAAAACCAACCCATCCAAAATAGGTCACCTACCCAGATCTGAGGGAATCATCATGCTCGTTTGGCCGCTTTAGTGATAGCCAAGGTGACCCATCGTGTTACCTGTACACCCTGTAGGTACCGTGCCTCTGTGCGTGCCTCCATCCAGATCATCCCCGCAAAAAACTTTCTCTCTAGTCTGAGGGTTTCTGGTTTTGTGGATAAGCCACCGGCCGGTTATGCAGTCAATCATTTTACCACCCAATCACAATCATACCGCCGTCAATAAAGTAGTTTGTTATTGGATGGGTGAATAAACACCGACAATGTACCAAAGTACCTTGCCCCAGATCGCTTCACCATGCCCATTTGTTATAAGGATCCGGCCCTTTCAGTTTAGTTGCCTTCAAACACGTTTATATGCAACCCCTTCACCCTCTTATCCGAGCGAATATTTCTTCATCTAACGACATAGAACATACCTAGAACATCACATACAGGTATCACATCTCCACTATCTCCACTCCATTCGCGATTGGCAAATCAGTCCTCTCAATGAATGGCAAGGTTTATCACGAAGCCGCTCAATGTTACATAGAATAATTGACCCACGATCGCAAAAAAAGATAAGCTGAACATACCAACGTTGAGCATATCGGCTTCGCCGAAACGTACCGAAACCTATTCTTCAAGACGCAAATAACATTTACCACTTCTTGTTGAACGACACAACATTGAAAGAGGACGGAAAATTATCTTCGAAATGCCCGGAATCTTACCCATGAAGATCATCAAGGTGGGCTCGTCGAGTTCACAAAGTCGGATTGCCCAAGCCTGCGATAGATGTCGAAGCAAAAAGATACGATGCGATGGCATTCGACCATGCTGCTCACAATGTTCTGGTGTTGGGTTCGAATGCAAAACAAGCGATAAATTGAGTCGACGAGCATTTCCTAGAGGATAGTGAGTTTAACGGTCTTTTATACCTACAGTCGTTACACATCGGTATTCGATTGTCTAGCATAGTATTGGTTCCTCATTCTCTATGAACAATCTTCCGTCCACAATTGCTAACATGCTGTCTTGTAGTACTGAGTCTTTAGAGGAGAGAGTTCGTACATTAGAGGGGGAGATGAGGGAGATGAGAGAGTTGCTTGATGGAAAGGATGAGAAGATAGATATGCTCTCGAAGATGCACGACAATCGACGTCCTTCACTGTCTTCAACGTCAACTTCGCCTCCTGTCGAAAGTCGAAAAGAGTCATCACCTCCGAAGGAAGACATGTTTAAGGTCCAAGCTCCACCCCATCTATTGGAAGGCGATCATTCCAACTTGTATTTCATGGGAGCATCAAGTGGGAGAACTTTTGTCGGTAGGAAATCATAAAAAAATAACATCATTTAACGTTTACCTCGCTAATATCTTTCTAGATATCTGCAAGCGTAAAATCCAAGACAGCGGCAAGTCTTCCGTAGGGTTTGATACAGAAACATTTTTGAACCCCCAAAATGAATCCACCTCGTTATCAACGATTACACCTGCCTCAAGTTTCGCACCCCCACGCTTATTTTCAGACAAATGTCTAAATGTCTTTTTTCAAGAATGGGCACCATTATTTCCCGTCATACACAAACAGAGTTTCTTGACTCTATACGATGAATACTCATCGAATCCGCATCAAGTGAAAGATCAACATAAATTGGCTCAGTTACACCTTGTCTTTAGTATCGCTGGACTCTCCACCGATTGCCCCGATAAGGAACAAATATCATTATGTGAGAACCAATGGCGCACAGCTCTCAACATTATTTTGATGGAGAACAACATATCGACACTGCAGTGTTTGATTTTAGCGCTTATTTATTGCATTCAAAAGGGGGACTACAATAGCCTACAGCATTACAAAGGAATAGCTGTTGGTCTTTCTCACAGGCTTGGTTTACATCAAAGTCAGAAGCGATTCCCTTTTGATTTATTGGCTGCTGAGACGAGAAAAAGGGTGTTTTGGACTTTGTATACTGTTGATTGGTAAGAAATGTCATAGAGGTTGTATCGCAAAGCTAATCTTCGATAGTTTTTCTGCTTCCCTCCTTGGCCTCCCTAAGTTATTAAGGGAAGATGATATCTACGCGGAGTACCCCTCGGATATAGATGATGAACATATGAATGAGAAAGGATATCAACCCATGCTTCCAGGGGAACCTACCAGAATCTCTAGTGCTCTTGCTCTGTTCCGATGCTCACGCATCCTGTCTAAAGTCTTGGAGCAAATTTATCCCTCAGCTGCAACTCACGACTTATCGTTGCAAACGCTATTTGCTCTGGTGGCCGAATTGAACGAATGGTCTGATAATTTACCAACTCATTTGAAGCTTACATTCGTTCAAGATAAACCATCAACAGACGTTACAGGTAGTCGATCAGCTTTATTGGTAAGTCAAATAATGGCGTGTGGATTTTAGTTTCACTCTAACCGAATCATAGTCTCTTGCATTTTACTATATTCGATCATTGATTCACCGCCCTGCTATTGGTTCCTCCCTCGGATCTAAAACTTCACCATCCGTCATTGCCTTGGCTGATTCCAGCAAACATCTCATACAAATCACACAGCTCCTTGAAGAAAGAAATATGACTTTCTCATTCTGCATAAATAAAAACGCAATGCTTACGTTGTGTGGCCTAAGCCTCCTGTATCAAGGTCTCGATATTAAACAGGAAGGTAAGTTGATGCAAGAAAGTCAACGACTCGTCAAAACCGTTATCAGATTCCTAGAAAAGGCCAATGCTCCTGGTGCAACCGACTTCAAGAGACTTGCGTCATCTCTGATTAATTTGGACAGCCAGAGTCTAGACTGTGGAACTAAGTCGGCACTATTACGCACTTCTTCGACCATGTCTGCCCCAAAAATTTCAAAGCCAACACCATCCTCCTCCGTCGTTCCAATAAAAAATAACCAACAACAACATCCATATACGCATATTAGTGCTAGCATGAGCGAAAATGACATATTAGCACAACAAGAGAAGATTCGACGAGCTACGTTACCAAATTTATTCAATCACACTTCACAAGACCAGACATCGGCTCGATCATCCTATGACGGAACAAGGACCGATTCTCCGATCACCAAGCGCGAAAATCGCAGCTCCCTCTCCCAACTATCAAAGCCTCGATATAACACAAATCCAAAACCACCGAATCTGGACTATTTATCCTTGAGCAATACGCCAATTACTTCGCAACAATCTTCGCCAACAATTTCGCGCACTGCTCCTCCAGGACCAAGTTCTCATAGCTGTCACCTTATGTACAGCAAGATTGATAATCAACCAAACGAATGGGCTATACTCGCTTCCTTAGAAAGTGGTGAAAGCAACATACACAGTGCTATCTATGGTGGGCCACCGCCTAGTCTTACAGAAACAACTCAAAGTGCTCCTTCAAATGCGAGTTATGAGGATTGGTCTTCAACTACCTTTTGGGACGATATGACATCTACAAATATTCACGATCCCTTGGCAAATCCCGGAGCTGCACAGAGTGTATTGAGTTTTAGTGGGGAGAGTCATAGTTCCGGTGACGAACTATCCACTAGTGATCTTGGAATGAACGGAAACACGCAGTACCTACATGAGTCATTGCCACATTGTGATGATTACATGCTTCAGCTCATGCATTATTCTTAAACATTCGTCTTTTTTAAATGCCCTTGGCGTCTTGTGAATCTTATTATGGGTTATGGGAGAGGTTATGCTGTGTCGTGTCTTGAGAATACCCATATGAGTGTGAGATCGGCGTTCAATACTGGGAGGTGCGAGATTTACAATTTGATCCTGTGAAAGGGCTGGCGTGGTCTGGGCAAGAATTGGTGGTTGTTAAGGCGTTGGATGGTTGACACTTTCGTTCGTTGCTATCTGGCGTACTTGTATCACTTGACGCACTTGGTTCGGATCTACTTGCACTATATGCTTATTTCAACTTTGATAGATTGGTACCTAGAAATTAGATAAAAACATCAAAACTAAAATTCAAACCAAGCTCGCTAAAATTTAATATGTTCCTTGAAATGTCTAATGGCTCAATTCTCTAACATGAATGATACATGCACCTTGGCCCTACATATATTACCCACGAAAAGTCTATGACACTAAACGTTTCTACTTTCCTAAATATCGTAGTCCAATTCATTTCTCCACAGTCCCAACCGGAATCTCAAATCATAAATTTCCTCGTGAATATTGCGCATGTCATGAGCTTCCCCGGATTTTGCCGAAACAAGACTAGTGTCATTCACCGGACCTCGGTCATTATCACATGCTAGTGTGGATGCGACCCTGCGACTCGTGAACAACCGTTACTGCTTGCGGACTTCATTTAAGTACCTTACTCCCGTACCTGAATCTGTCGAATATAATTATATCGTTTACCACTCAGCGAATCTGCAAATCTGTTGAAATTTATCGAATGATACATATTACATCGTATAGTTGAAACAAGTCAAAACTAAAGCAAGCCTATCAATACAGCAATCACAATCATGTCTCTCAAGAACGGTCAGCTCCTCCATTTCCGGACCTTCCCATTCCACACCATCCTTTTACTAACCCATCAACCCGCAGATGCATTCCCTTCCTCTGCAGCCTTCGACGTTATCGCCTCTTCCCTCGAATCATCCCCCACCGACCGCGCCGACGCCATCAAACAAGGCAACGCCGTCTTCGCCTTCACTCTCAAGAACAAAGCGGGCGAAACAGCCGATTGGCACATCGATTTGAAAAAGGAAGGGAAGGTCGGAACAGGGCTTGGAGAAAAACCAACAGTAACTTTGAGTCTGAGTGATGAGGATTTCGGAAAGTTGGTAGCGGGAAAGGCGAATGCTCAGAGACTTTTTATGGGGGGAAAGTTGAAAGTTAAGGGAGATGTGATGAAGGCGACGAAGATGGAACCGATTTTGAAGAAGGCGCAAGGAGGTGTGAAGGCGAAGTTGTAGATGGTTGGATCCGTGTGTGGAAGGGGAAGGGGAAAGGGAATGAGAGGTCGGGTTTGCTGCGCTTTGTAATGGGGGGTTTAGATGTCGAGTCGATAGATCTGATGTGGAGTGATATTCTTGGGTACCTTTCGACCGGAAGAAACGAGAATCGGCTTGGATAGATTATTTTTTGCTTCTGGTAGCAGGATAGAATGCGTGCGGATCTACCGAGGGGAGAAGACTTGGCTAGTGGAACCGTGTTTGTTTTGATATCTTCAGACAAGGAATGAAAGATGCATTGTCATTTATATTTTGTTATTTTACTATTGTATACGATCCTTCTGGATAGCATTGAAAGTCGATGCGTTGAATTTTGCATAGTTTGCTTGTTCTATACATTTACCTACCTTGAAACATGGTAAGTCCATGAAATTGTATCTCCTATTCAACTAAGTACATCTCAACTCCACACATCTGTTTACCTACCTTGGATTGAAAAGGAGAACCTTCTTGTATCCTTTGGTTTATGTTTGCACATTTGTGGCTCACTCCATTAGTTGCAACTCAACTACGGAACTCATGCAGCGATGAAATCCTGGATAAAATCCAATCGAGTTCTCCCATTCAATTTAACCGCTGAATTTCAGTATCAGATCTCATCGTCAACTTATATTTCATGGCAGAAATCTCTACTCTCTCCTGATCTCTATTCGATGAGAAATGATCAAACCTCCTCCGTCCCTACTTCTCTCAAACCTATTGCCTGCTTTTATGAAGGAAGTACTTTTCAGCATATTGCCTATCACTAATCTGGTCAAATACTGCAAAGTTATTTTATTGTCATGTCTAGACATCTCCATATTACGAATGTGTTTTTGCACTCTCAGAATTCGAAGTTGCATCTTTTGGCTCGTTGCAAAGTCTTCTGTTTAGGTGTCCATTTCATATTAGGGTTAGTACTTATCAAGGGATATCGGGAGATCGAGAGATTTCCAAGTGATTCAAGTGGATGAGATGTGGGTGTTTCTTGTTGCTTCGTTCTCCTCGGATGCTTCCTCTCGTGTTTGGCTGGTTAAATAGTGTAATTTTTCACATGCACACAACTTGTTTTTCTCTTGGAATTGGCTATTCTCTAGGATTCAAGCAGCCGGAAAGAACTAAATGAATTTTTGAGTTTTTGAATTAAAAGCAGTTGATTGAGACAGTGAAGTCTCTAGTCATTGATAATATCATTGTGACTCCAGTAACACAAGTGGTCGGAAATGGTTCTGAAGTTCGATGTGAAATCTACCAGGATCGGAAAGACTGTAAGAACTGGAGAATACTGGAGCTACACCGTGACTTTGCCATTTCGATCACTATACGGATTCCAAAACTCCCATCGCAAAACTATGGATGGCATAATCACCCAGAAGAGGGTGCCAGTTATGCAGCTGCGTCGCATCTCAGATTTCTTGTGACGACCGAAACTAGCAAGTGGTTTGTCAATCTCTATATTAGATGAAAATGTCAGAGTCAAACGAAACCTTCTTGGGGTGGCCATAGATCTATTAGATTCACCCAAAGATAGAATTGCAAGAGTATACATGGATATTTGAACCCAGCATGAGTCTTAAGTTTATTTCTACTCGTGCAATAGAAATAATATCAAGCTTAGAGGAGTTACATTTTGAATCATGCGGTTTCTTGATAGAAGCAATTATTTGTTCTAAGTGCTTTGATGAAACATAAAGCTATATATAGATCTATAAGGGGACTTTTTATGAAGATACAATGATTCATTTGATTTATTCATTATTGAAAGTGTTGGTGAAAACTCACGGATGCTTCGATTAATCAATGGCCATTCATCTATGTAGGTACAGATAGCAGTTAACTAGTTCTGTGTATTGACTTCACTAAAACAAATGAGATAGGAATGTCGAGTTACTTCCTAGCTCAATATATACTTTCAAAATATGCTAAACTAGAGCTCTTAATTAGAATCAGTATTGATTTCGAAATAATCCTATTTCGAGATGTTGGGAGTGTTGATGTTGTTGATATGAATGAACTTCGGTACAGAGATGTTATAGCGGCAAGTGTAGATAAAAACCTCGGAGGTTTTTATCTACCACCGTTGTTTTAAGAGAATCGGAGCTAAATCTAAGCGATATTAAAGCGGCAGTAGTAGATATAAACAGTATCATTGGCCAGATCAGAAGCGCGGAATTTACAGTGGAGTCTGCTAAGTGGGTGCATACACGGACATCCCTTTTATACACGCAATGGACTTTCAATTATCGATAAAAAAGCACTTTTGATTGCGATTGCACGCTGAACTAATATATGAGTTAACTCATTGATGTAAACCCCATGGAATCATCGCACGGTCGATTCACCCATTGTATGATAGATACTCTCCTTCCGGCATCGATACTTTCTTGACCTTCGCATCTCGCAATTGATAAACCCGCCAATGCTCCACCATTTCCACGCAATGCTTCTATTCCACCCCGTTGTAACTCATTCTCCCCGCGCTCCCATCATCTCTCAAATTACCGTGTGATCAGGTGATCAAATCCACCTCCATCCATCAGCCAAGCCGTGGACATCTTGCACCGCTTCCAACAACCGTTGGCTCTGTCGTCTAATTCTTCGATCTGCTCTTCTTAAGCGAGCTCTTTCCATATTGGACGGAACTCTACGTTGGACCATTCGCCTAGCGAGACGAGCGTTTTGGCGGGTAGCATTTGCTTCTAGCGCTGTGACGCGATTCTGAGACTCATTGTAGAGTGCTTGAAAATCTCCAGCCATCAATTCCAGCCTTAAGATACGGTCTCTAGAATCATCATTCCTCGCACCGATTTCCGCATTCGGCGGTGGGGGTTGTTGTTGCTGCTGGCCCTGCGGATTGCATTCTTGCTGTGGGGCACATTGCATATCTGCAGGTCCATACTGGCAGGCCAGGAATTCTGCAATGATAGAAGCAAGTTGTTCTTGCGTAAGTTCTCGTTGCAGAGCTCCGAGTCGAAAGATGAGGCTTTGCTTACTCTCCCCTGGTCTGGCTCGTGCGATGTTGTAGTTCTTTCTGGCCAGCTTGTCGACCGCCGTTCGTAAAAGGAAGACCGTCCAAAAGCTTTGGTATTGTCCGAATAATAGTGAGGCATCCATTGTATCGGGTCTTTATAAGTTAGTATTCAATGAACAAAGGACATGTGAGAAGAGGACTGAATGCTCTGGATTCATATACACTCAAGAAAGCGTAGCGCTAGCAATAGAGTGTCTGTAATATCCCAAGAAACACAAGAATCACTTACTATCTTCAACGTGTTTGAAGACTGGAAGAAAGTTTTGAATTGTGGAACCTCGATACAGAGGCAAAACAGGGAGGGAGAACTCTTTGGATGGCCTGTTGCGCCTCTTTCCGTCTTGAAGCTTGATATGAGGCTAAAGGAAGAGGTTTTGAGAGATGCTTTTTTCAGTTTCGAGTCTTGAATGAAAGGAAGAAGAGCTCAATTGTTCTAGGGCTTCTTATTCGATCTTGAGATCTTGAGCTAATAAAAGATGTATGAATTGTACATACAACCACAATCAGTTGGATTTCTGAATTGGTGTTTGTTTGTGTAGAGGGGAAGAAAGTTTACAACAAGAAACGAAGGTGGAAGGGTTTTTATTAGAAGGATTAAGCTAGTTGAAAGTAGGCTTTAAAAGTGAGGTTGAAAGTGAGATTGAAAAGTGAGATTTGAAAGTGAGTTTGAAAATGAGCTTTAAAAGTGAGATTGTTGATTAGTGTGATAGTAAGTCGAAATAAATTATTCTAAACAATTTAAATAAGGTAATTAGTGAATGATAGTTTCTTAGAAGTAAATTTAATTATATGTTTTTCATTTTTGATTGTAAATAAAATTTTGTTTTGAGAATTAATAAAAGAATCGAATAATTTATAATATAAGAAATCAAAGAATATAATTTTGAAAGAGCTAAATGTTTGATAGTGAAGAAAATGTAATTCTTTAATTATTATTATTATTAGTAATTTTCAACCGGGCCGTATAGGCGGGCCTCCCAGGGGGCATTACGATTAGGCTAACTGCGGGATGATCTTCTAATTTACATGATCCCCCTTTTCTAGGGATAGGGTCTCAATACCCTTAATAGCCTTCTAAATAATGATTAGCGCACTTGCACCTTTGTCTTCGATTCTCTAAGTGCCTCCGTATGCGCTTTCCGATCTCTTATATAATATTTATTTGAAAGTTATTTTATTCTGTAAGATGTCACGGTGTGAGCTCACGTGATATGCTGGTCCTATCGGAGAGGATCGAAAGGAGCGCTCGCACCGGAGCGCAAGCGAGCTAGGGCCCGATCGGGCTAGCTCGCTGTGAAAATTCCGTATATCTTCAACTCAGAAGATCCTGTATTGTAGCTCTTTGAGCTATATCTTAATTCTCAATCTGAATCTATTACCCGAATTAATATAATTTTATTAAATTAAAACAAAGTTATTAGAACCTTATTCCGCCCGCCTGCCTTGTAATACTATATAGCTTCTATTTATTAAAATATTACTTTCATAATAACTACTTTACACCCATTTAGCCAGTTTAGAGACTTTTCAGAATTTAGTATTTCTATATCAAAGGACCCCCAGATTTAATATCAATACTTTTAATCAGCATTTGCATATTATACTAAACTAAAGAAAACCAACAGATTATTCGAATACGAAATTTCCAAATCTTTAGTCTACAAACATATTCAAATCACTCTATATGAGCAGATTGTTATTCAAAATATCCATCTATTCAATCACCTTACCGAATCCATATCTATTATATCTATTCATTTGAAAACTATATCCTCTAAAACTTTTATTAATTTTATTTTTAAACTCATTGTATCTATTTCAATTATTTGATTGAATAAATATATCCCTAATTCAAAAAAATTTGATAATATCTGCTTCAATCTATGTAGATTTGTTTAATAAATATATAAAAATTGAATATGAATAATAATAGATTCTTAATAACTTTTGCTCACTTGATTTATATTATTAAAAGACTTATTAGAAAAATATATAAATTTATATTATCTAAAATCTCTTATAGAATTCCTTAATTCATTAATTATACTATATTTCTCGAATATTTCGAAAATATCTTTAGAAATTCTGATCGAATATAAAATATACAGAATAAATTATATGTATTGAAGCAAAGACATCTTGATTTTAGTACTTTTTTTATGGAATTCTAGAGACTTGTTTTAGAAGGAGAGATACCTGATAATATTTTAATCCCATTTTTATTTCAAGAAATCTCTTGCGAACTATAAGATATATTATTACATAACCCCACTTCAACCTATGAATTTTGTTAATATATTAATTACTTATAACAACTCAATAACCAATTCTATTAATACCAATAATAAGTTTATTATATTTGTTTTATCGTTTCTGAAACTTTACTTCAAAGAATAATTATTATTTTGTTTCTATAATTCATTAGTTCGAAGTTTATTTTTAAAGATCTAATAAATCTAAGCTTAGGAAAAAAGGAATATACTATTAGGAATTTGGGTTTGCAATGGGAATGCAACAAATGCTATCGCTGTGGTTCTATTAGTTATCTGATACGAGACTGTTTGTACCCCGATATTCGTTCTATTCAATTTCGAGTTATTATTATTACAATTAGTTTTATGAGAATTAGCTTTGTATCAAATAATCCTTCAAGGGGCCAAATCCCTATCTGTTTCCCACCTCACTTTCCTCCTCACTTGCCGATTAGTTTAATCAATTCGGGAAATGGGATATATCTGATTTAAATCACGATTAGGATAATTCTCTGCATACCCTCCGCTTATCTGCTATTGCTATTTATGGTTTTCCTTTAAAAAATGAATTAAACAATTATATAAATCTAATGATTCTATTTATCACCCTACTCTTAGAAAAAGACATTTTCCCAATATATACTATAGTTGATAGCGAATACAAAGGAATTGCCTTTACAAATCGAAACTAGATGTCTTCTCAGAAAATACCAGTACATCAATTATCTATAATATTTGAAATTATAGAATTCGATAGAAACACCTTGCCCGATAATTGAATTACTTTTTATATCCGAATAGGATTTAGAATCAATAATTATATCGAAAAGAAGATTGTTTTATATATAACCGAGTTAGTTTATTATCCTATTATACTAAAAATAGCTTGATTTAAAAAATATAATTTTTGTATCGATTTTGTAATAAATTTATTTCAATTCGATAGTTCGTTTTGCTATAAATTTTATAATATTTTGTTCTATTTGTTTTATATAAAAGCTTTATTAGATATTTCTTTAAAAGCTTGATCTGTATATCTATCTATTTGTCTCGAAAAGTTAAAGAATAAGGATATAACTACGATTTCCTTAAAAACCTATTCAACTTACACCTACTAGAAATATAAAATGTTTTAGATATCAATTAAGTAAATCAATGATATTCTAAATAAGAAAAAGAAAATATTCAATCCCAAAGATTTATTATTTAAATTCCAAAATTAAAAAGATATCTTTTTTTTAAAGAATATAGAAAAGCTATTTCCTTATTAATTATATGATTATAAGATCTGTTTTAAAAAAAGAGTTATTCCTTTTTTTGATACCTTATACTCTATATCCCACCCCAAATTAAAAGTTTTAAAAGAATAACTGAAAGAGAATCTTAAAAAAGGATTTATTCGGCTAAATTCTTCCCCTGCTATTTCCCTTGTTTTGTTTATCAAAAAGGCTAATAAAGGCCTTTAGTTTTATATAGATTATTATACTTTGAATAACTTATTAGTTAAGGATTAATATCCTTTATTATTAATAAAAGAATCTCTAAATAATCTAAAAGGAATAAAGTATTTTAATAAAATCGATATCATCTTTATTTTCAATAATATAAGAATAAAAGAAAAGTAGGAATACCTAATTGTATTTTATACCTGATTCGGATTATTCGAATCCTTAATTATACTGTTCAGACTGATAGAGGCTCCCGTAATCTTCCAGAGGTTTATTAATGATTCTCTACAAGAATATCTGGATATATTTTATATTATTTATTTGAATAATATTCTGATATATAATCGAATTTGAAAAGAATATATTCGTTATATTCAGAAGGTTCTGTAAATATTGAGGAAAGCTAATTTGTTTGCTAAATTCGAAAAATACAAATTTCTAAAATCCGAAACCAAATTCCTAGGCCTTATTATAGAAAGCAATAATATTCAAATAAATCCAGAGAAAATCCGAATAATTATAAATTAGAAACTATTTGTTAGCATAATCAATGTTTAAGTATTTATTAAGTTTTCAAACTTTTATTAATAGTTTATTAGAGATTTTTCAAAAATCATTAATCTAATAATAAACTTGATTAAAAAGAATATTTTATTTTTGTAAAGCTCTATCTATCAAAAAACATTTGATCAATTAAAATAAGCATTTATCGAAATATTTATTCTAGCTTTTTTTGATTAAAAAAAGGAAATAATTATAGAAACTGATATCTTCGATTATATATTTATTAAAGTATTCTCCCAATATAACGATAATAGAATACTTAGATTTATTGTATTTTTCTTTAAAAAACATTCAATAGCTAAATATAATTATAAGATTTATAATAAAGAACTATTAGCTATTATTTATTGCTTCAAAGAATAACACTCCAAGTTGGAAAGCGCCGCATCACCAATTCAAGTAATCACTGATTATAGGAATTTGGAATACTTTATTATAACAAAGCTATTGAATTATTATTAAATTTATTAATTCGAATTTCTATTTCGATTTAATTTCCGAATCATTTATTGCTTTGGGAAGCTAGATATCAAATCTGATATACTAATTAAAAGATTAGAAGATCTCTTTAAGGAAAAGAATAAACACCTTTTGTATCAAAGCTGTATTATCCTGAAACAAGAGAATCTGGATTCCGACCTATTTCCTATTACTATTATTCTAATCGAACCCAAGATTGCCAAGAAAGTATACTTTGCTATAATCATTTGTAGCTAGAGAAACCCCAACCCTACCGATATCATTAATCACTTGGATTTTGATGATATTGTAACTTTACCAAAAAATAGCAAAGTTATAAAGCCTATAATCCTATGTGCC